TCAACGACGGATTCTCTGCGTGACTCATTTTACGGCTAGTATACGCGCGTGCCGCATAGCCGCGTGGCTATGCACGAGCGACCGTATGCATGTATGATGCACCGAACGTCGATGTGCGCGCCGCCTCGATGATGTATGGGCGAGTTGTCGAGCAGCCCGTAGGATTCAGTACGCGAGTCGGGCGGAAGATTTTCATCGTCCAAGAGGAATATACCATCGAATTCGCTAGAGCGATATACAATAACAACAACAACATCTCTACGCGTATCGCGTGCTGTTTTTCTTTTCCGGCGCGATCCGAGCTCGGATACAGCTCGATTCGTGTGCGTGTATAGAGTGTGCGTATTGAACGCCACGCAATGTTTGCGGAAAACTGCCTTAGCGCGATTCATCATACAGCGCTCGCCCGTAGGCATTAAATAATAAAATAATCCTATTCGCAGCTCGTATTATTATTACATATATACTTTTTCTCTTACATTTATAGCTTTCAATTTACCTTCCGTTTGTAGCTTATAATTTTCCACTTTATATACGCGAATTTTTGTCACGAATTTTTTTACGTACGTCCGATTTCGGAGCAGTCGCGCGTCGTCGTTCTTTTTCTTTCCACTCGTAATTGCGGAAATAGCTCGTGAGCTGCCTTTTATATTCCTCGGCTGTACCTGCTAAAATGAATATTATAATTTCTGGCGCGCGAACGCCCCGCGAAGTAGTATGATATAAAATCGCCGCGGCGAAAAGCACGGCCCGCGTGCATAATAATCTTGTCATCGGGCCGATAAAAATGGTAATCGCGCATTGAAAATCGCTTGTTTCCCTTTTCTGCGCACACAGTGTCTTGCGTGACATTTACCGCCCGAAGGCTCGAGCAGCCCAATCAGCGAGTAAGCAGCAGATCATGCTAAACGGACAACGATATTTAGCTCGAGCTCAGCCCCCGCCTACCGAGATCGATGCATATTAACTTTATCAGTGCTGCTGCTGCTGTATGCAGAATTTCAATTATTTACCAACTCGATGAAATAGCTCGTTTTTCAGTTTCGAACGAACCATTCGCGTTGTCGTAATATGGTATACAAGAGAGACAAAATGAGAAACATAGAGAGAAAGAAAGATTTTTTCCTCGAACTCGACGAGCTGTAATTCTATAATTGAAAGTGCAACAGCACTGGCGGCCGCTACCTGTCTAATACAGCGTATGCTGATTGCCATAGCTAAACTCGCGCCGGCTTGGAAACCGAAAAATTGCATTCCTCGCGGGCCTCTTTTCCGCGCGGCGGCGGCAAATATTTTACAGAATCCATTCATTTCGAGAATTTCCATTGTAATTAAGACGACAAGACAGGAAAATTCGCGCCATTCCAGCAATGCCGCGCGCGGCAGAAAATCACGGCAGAAAGGAGCGTTACACGCTGCTGCTATTACGGGCTGCTCCTTTATACGTATATACCTACACTTGTACGCTAATAAGACGTCGGATTCTTTCGCATACATGTGTGGCAGTTGCTGCTGCGCGCGTGCATTTGAAATAATTACGGAAAATGTTATTTGTATTGTGTTCTCGCTTGATACGTAGGATATACAATATGCAGGACGTGTAAGAAAGTCGATTGACGACAGACACATTGGCGAATTAATTTACTCTCTCTCTAACTTCGGCTTGTTTGCGGTTCTTGCCGATTGCCACCCGCGCACGCCTCTAGGCGCTTCGAGCAAAGCGCGCACAAAAGAGAGATATACATACGTTTTGAAAACGTCGCGCGACACGAAAACCCAATTGTACGTGGTATTATACCTGTATGCATATACGTATGCAATACGCAGACCATGGCGCGTGCACGTAACAGAAACGCGCGCGGCTTCGCAGCTATTAAAGCTCGCGCGGAGTCGCACGAATCGGGGGGAGCTCCCACGTCGAACATATACGTAGCGAGTCGCTGCCTTTGCGCTCTACACAGCTTTTACACGGCTCCGACGGATGTTAACATTGATTAAACTAGCATCGCGATGCGCCAACTCACTCGAGCGTATAGTACATTCGAAGGCGTATGTGTATAATGTTGTAAAAGGTATAATACGGCGTAAGGTGCCGGCACAGCTGCCCGAGCTCATAGACTCATGCTTGCCGACGTCGCCGACGACGACGAAGGAGGATATTATAGCTTTTTTTCAAGCTGAGATACGGCCAAGGACTCGCTTTTGTTTTGTCAGTCTCCGATGGCGAGTGAGCCGCGGCTGAACACAATGCCCACGAGGGAGGGAGAGAGAGATGTATATACCTGCGCGCACACACGAGATGTACGACGACGATGACGCGCCTCGGACGGCCCGATGAAAGGCAAGCTCACAAGCTGCACTCCCTGCTGATATGCTCCGCTATCCGCGCAATGAACCAACTTGTTTGTTGTAACGCCTCGGCACAAGTGCGCGCCGCGTCCAACGCCGCCACGCAGCTTTTTCTCGTCGAAAGCGAGCGTGTATAAGCCGCGCACTTCGTGTTCCGTCGATCATCGATCGAATCGATATTCGTCGCTGCCATATATATAATATACACCAGCGTCGGTGAACTTACGCAATTTGTGCGTGTTATCGAAATCCACGCACGGATTTCAATGCACCGCGTGATTTTAACCTTGTTGCAAGGTCTTGAATACGTATGCGCACAGAGCAGCACGCGCGCACGCGGCTACGTAAGCTTTGTGGCGCATTATGTTTTGGAAAGGAGCAACGGACGAATATACGCTTATCTCTCGATATATACACTCTCGTGCACACACAATGTAATATAATGCATTATATTGTTATAAAAGGTACAACACTTACCCTGCAGGAAAAGTACATGCAGCGCGAGGTTCATGGCAATGAAATGCTTGACTTCTCCTTGCTGAAACATACAAACGAAATCCCATATTAATTTTATCGATCACAGAGTTGCCATTTAGACGTTGAATTATTCGATCTATTTTTTTTCAATTTCACTGACAATTTCAACGAAGCATCTTCGCAGCCTAGCGCTACGCTATGATCCTTCGATAATAAGCGGAATTTTGTATACGCAGCGAGATATTTCATTCGGAATCTTCGTTATCCCGGCGATACGATAGCGATGTATACATGTGCGTGCGTATTTGTAAAAAGTGTGCGTATACAGAATATGTGTGGATATACGCGGGCGCACTCGATCCTACGTGCGTGCTCTTGTGCGCGGCCTATACACACGTATTTCTCGAAACCGCAGAGCTCCTGCGCCTGAAAGTATTTTCACCTTATGTAAACGCGGGCGCCGCGGCCGCGCGCACTGCACGCGGCACGTTTTCATGAGCTCTGTATGTGTGTGTGTGTGTGTGCAATATGCGCTGCCTCGCGCGCTCATGCTCGCGTGAAAAAAGGTGTAAGTGCTTTCCCCGATTCGCAATTCGTATCGTCCGATCGAGCAGCAGCGGCACACAACCACGCCCGCGCAATATTTCGCTGCTCGTTTCATGCCCCGCGCGTACTGTGCTGCAGCGCTCATTTGCATATCCGGACATACTCGTGTATGTGTGCGCGCGCGCATATATGTACGCGCGCGAATACTCATTATAAATTGGAAGTTTGTCGAAGCTTTCGGCGTATTACATATATACCGCGCGCGCTGGAAAACAATGTTTGTTTTTGCCCGTGCTCGAGCCTCGCTGCGGATCGTGGGTAAAACTTTTTTTCGTCCACAAACTTAAAAAACGCGCGATGACGCATTGTAGTGCGCGGTGCAATGCGAGCACGGGGTGAAAGCGATAAGGCGCGCTGTACCTATGTACGAGCAAACACATAGCCCGATAATATAATGATGACTCGAGCGCGCGCCCGGTACTGTTTGCTGGAAATGGAGTGATCATGCGCGCGCGCGCGCGAGTGTAACTGTGTGGGAAGTACCGATTTCTCTGATAAAACAAGCGATGCCTTTTTTGCACTTTATAATTTATCCCGGGCGGCCTCGCGGGTGAAATTTATGCGCTAATTTTCTTCGTTTTGATATAGCTGTAGATCCTTTGCGGCCACGAATCACACACACACACACACACACACACACACACATAGCAACGCTGTCGCTGCCGCTGATGCAATTACATGCCAATTTGCGTCTAGTGTGTGTATGAACTTTTCGAGAGTCGAGAGCACAGATATCACACGTGAAGCTCTTAATGGCTTTAATTGCAAACTTTGTACTGTACGAGGAATAAAAATGTAAGGCACCTCGTATCGGTTGATTTATTTTAATCATAGAGCATCGACGCACACATTTGAATTTAAAGCCGCGATCCTACTCGATAATTTTCATCGTTCAAGCATGAACTTTCCTGTCGTTCGCGCGGTGCTTTACTTCAGCTTTTACTTTTTAATTGCTGCCGCGCAAATGCTTGACCTTGAAAAATATATCAACCGAAAAACTTTACATTATTGCATACGAACAGGTAATTCTCTCATTCGATACACCTCAAATCATCATGGAATATATCACGGGAACATAAAAAATTAAAAAACATAGAAAGCATTAAATAAACCTTATTTGGAAGTACAAAACTTATAGTTTTTTGTGAATGCACTGTCCTACATATTTTAGTTTAGACGATCGAACTCCTCGACCAAATAAGTCGCAGATGCCGATAAAGAAGATCTTTTGGTTATAATTGGAATCAACTTTATTGAAATTCAATTCTAACTCTTTTTTGGTGAGCTTCGTGCACCGTAAATTCATAATTGTTTCGTTTTATATTTCTTCGAGACAAAATATCGTTTTTAGTTAATATATTTTTTATTGATCATTAGACTCACAGGAAGAAATCAACAATTTAATTGTTTCAATAATATTTATAAATTTTGTCATGCTCTGTTTACATTTGTCCGTGTAAACGGTCAAACTGTGAACTTGTAAATATAATTAAATTTCATTGAAGGTAGTTATTTTGATATTTAACACTATTAGCGAATAGAATATTTAGTGTTAAATTAAATTTCAAGTAAGATGGAATCGAGCGAAGAATTTAACGGTGCTGTCAGGTAATTTTTATTTTTTAAAAATAAAAGTATTGAAATATTATGAAATTATACTCAATGTTTTTGCAATTTTTTTTGCAGGGTAAAAGTGGAACCTGGAAACGAGTCACATATTCATGATGATTTTAATATTATTCACAAGATACCTGATATCCAAAATGTTCAATCTCAACAAAAAAATTCAGTAAGGGTTAATAACTATATAAATAATTCATACAGGCAATATTTTCAACCGCATAATTATCATATAAATCATATTTTATTACAGATTTGTGTGCTTCGAATATTAGACGAAACTCATGAAAGTGAGCTTGACAATATAAAAATCGAATTCGAATGTAAAGACGAGAAGCTCAGCATAAATTCATTAGTAGACAATAAAATTGAAGATTATTCTCGAAATTGCTTGCATAATATAAAATACAACAATGATTATAAACCTCTGACCGCAGTTAAAATAGAAGCTGTGGACGAAGTGAAAAAAGAATTGAACTTGAATTTCAGCAATGAATGTATCTATGCATGTAAGACTTGTGAAAAAACATTTACTCGTAAAATTCATCTAAAGAGACACATCAAATTATCGCATCATAGTATCGGCTATGCGTGTGATACATTTGTGAAAAAATACTCAAGGAACGTTAATCTTAAGAGACATATGGATTCGATGCATAAGGGTATTACCTACACCTGTGAAACATGCGGGAAGAATTTCGCAACGAAAAGCTCTCTCAAACTTCACATCAAGACTGTGCATAATGGTATCACCCACACCTGTGAAACATGTGGTAAGACATTTTCACAAAAAGGTAATCTCAAAATCCACACGGAGGCTATGCATAAAGGTATCACCCACACATGTAGCACATGTGGGAAGACATTTTCACATAAGTATAGTCTCAAAATCCATACCGAGGCTATGCATAAAGGTATTACCCACACCTGTGAAACATGCGGGAAGAAATTCGCAGCGAAAAGCTCTCTCAAAATCCACATCGAGGCTGAGCATAATGGTATCGACCACACCTGTGAAACATGTGGGAAGAAATTTTCATATAAGGGTTATCTCAAAATCCACATCGACTCTTTGCATAAGCGTATCACCCACACCTGTGATACATGTGGGAAGACATTTTCACAAAAGGGTAATCTCAAAATCCACACGGAGGCTATGCATAAAGGTATCACCCACACATGTGGCACATGTGGGAAGAAATTCAGAACGAAAGGTTCTCTCAAAACCCATATTGGTAGGTTACATAATAATATCAGATATTAATGCGTTAGATGTGGAAAGATATTCATAGAAAAGAGACGTTTTCAAATCCATATCGATACGGCACATTCCTGTCGCATCATGAATTAATCGATCTTCTTTTATAATAACATCACAGATTCTTCTTATGATTGTGTTACTTTTTTATATAAACATATAACGTCTAAAAGAGTTAAAAAAATAAATACATTTTTGAACGAAACTGAAACACTGAAAGGTCCCAATGGTCAATTTGTGGCACGAGATTTTGTGAAAATTTAATGATCAGTAATCGGCACTTAAATGCACGTGCTTGCACCCGCAACTGAACTACAGACAAATCAGTTTTATTTGATGCAGAAACATCAAGAAATTACTCACAATTCTATAATATTAATGCATTGTTTAATTTCAACAAAACTATTATTAAAATAACAATATACATCCACAAGCTTATTGAGTTGTTCATATTATAAATTCCAAAGTAAAGACAGAAATTGCTAATGCGTGACCACCCAATAATAATGAAAATATGAAATTCATTTCTTCCAAACCTAATACTATTTGTTGTTTTTCGTCTGCACGATGATGAATAAAAATTGAATCATAATACTTTGCTGTTATTCCTGTCTCGAAAAATCGCAAAAATATGTTATTGAACTTTGGTTTTAAAAACCAATCCTGTCTTGTCAGAAAAACCACAACACGCATGTGCAATAGTGGCTCCGAGATATGAATCAATTTGGACTCGTAAATACCATGAGATTTGAGAGATGTCGTCCCTCCTATGCATATTACATGATCTTGTTCCAAAATTTTATTCATGCATTCGTCGTAGTGTAAAAAGCGTATCACATTCCTTCCCGTGGTTTTGGCAATAGGAGTCATTAATGATCTGTATGCAAAAATCGTCAATTTCGTATCATTTTTTATGTCTTCAATGGTCTCGATGTCTGACATAAAATTTTCCTCTGTATTGACGGCGCTAAACAAACCGACAAAATATGCACTCGAGTATGATACTAGTAAGATGATAATACACATCAATATTCTCTCAGATGAAAAACGAGCTTTTTCAAAGACTCGTTGGTTCATGGAATGCGTGAACACTTGTACGAACTCGAAAAAAGAGTTGATCCAGGATATCTTCAAGATTACTTTTGAAACCAATACAAACATTGTAAAAGATATGACTACGTTGAGGAGAATGTTACGGTCAAGAGCAGAAACAAACTTGTGCAAGAGGCTGACTTTGATTTTACGAGAAACCGCATGTATATCGATATGATAAAAAAAGTCTGTTTGCATTTTCCAGTGATCAGCAATGACAACTGATGGTGTGCACAGATCAACTTTGCCATCAATAAAATCTAACAATGTCTCTTGCGGCTTTCCGTGGTCATTTAACATATGTAATGAAGAATAAAATTTTATATTGTAACTTGCTCCACTGTGTTTTAGTGCCATTTTCATCAGCCCATGATTGTTTTCCCGAATTTCCGAAAGCTTTATGTTTGATGAATTCGATAAGTATTTTGACTTATTTACTACCTCAACACCCAATGATATCTTGTAATGGGATAAGTCTACTGATTTATCAAAGTAGCACATTCCAGCGTGATTGGTTTCTAGAGAGTAAAATCAAGTCATAAATATTAAAAAAATTTATAAAATTAGGGTTACCAAATTGGTGGTATGAGTACAAAAGTCCCAAAACAAAAGTTCCAAAGCAAAAGTCCCAAATTATTATTCCCGAGAATTTTTAATTCCAAAATGATTTAGTTCCAAATAAAATATTCAAAAAAAAAAAGAAATCCAAATTATTTAAAAAATTCAAATTTATTGGGATTTCCAAAATTAACATTCACAAGAGGCGGATGTAGTGGCCAATAGCCTTCAAATCCTTCAGTACGGTGGCCTGATCGGCGTATTTGCCAAGTTTTAAAACGATATTGAGAATTCTGCCTTCCATCGCTTTAAAATTGCTAGCCCGCTTAGCTCGAACTTTTTGGCCCAGCTCAATCTACCTTGCAATTATGTTTTTGCGAGTAACACGCGCACTTACAAGGAAACTAATAAATGCAAAGAATAAAAAAGTTTTAAAATTTTTCGTTTTTTCGTTCAAGTGCTTTTATGTCGATACAGAAAATTGCAAAGATTTTTTCACATTACAGAAAATCCTCTTAAAAATAGGCCCTAAGGTCCATGGGATTAAACTAAGCACAGGGGGCATCATTATTTGGTACCAGGAGAGAAAATTTTTTGGCAAAGGTCTAAGATCCGAAGGTGGAAAGGTCTCCTTGTTAGTTGTGTATAGGCTGTATATTTGGTAATAGAATAAGCTCGGAACTCTCATAATTTGGAATTTAATAGTTTTGGAACTATTCTATACTTGGGAATTAATAAGTTTGGAACTTCCATAATTGGAACTTTTGTTTTAGGACTTTCGTGATAGAATCCAAATTGGTCGATTTCTAACCCTCTATTGACGATAATTTCGTAATGTCACTAGTGAAAAATGTCCAATTCATACGATTGGTCGTAATTTTGGCTTCTATTTTCCAAAAAGACGTAGCTATCGAGGAAAATGGATTGAATGTGTACAGAACATAACGATTGTTAGATGCCATACATAAGTAAAAAATATTAATTATATCTAATTTCCAGGCTATATTCATGATTAAATATGCCGAAGAACTAGAGATTCCATAATTTTTGTTAACAATCAAAAACATTGCCTGACTATTCCAGAAGATGGTGTCGCGAAAAGCTTCAAGGAATGTTGAAAAATTAAGATCCCGAGTCTCTTCAATAACGACAATACTAATGGGATAATTTTTTCTTTCAAAAACTGTTTCGTTGATATCGAGAACATATTTCAAACGTTGATAACGAGAAGAAAGTAGTAAATTTTTAGGTCCTGCTATATCAAAAATGAATAGTGAAGAATAACTGTCACTAAAAAACGATATTTCTCTGTAACTCCAGTTGCCAAAAACTATAATGTATTTTTCTCCCTCGAATGCTTTAAGATTACATTCATTAAGAATAAATTTCTAAAAAATAATTGAATTTATAGTTATTATTTTTTTTCGTCGATATAAATGTGTACCATTCTAGTTGAAAATCCAGATTTAAAATCTAGATCGTTCTCGTCATTTTCAAATATTTTCCGTTGAAATGGTTCCTGAACAGTTTTGATTGAATGAAAGGATAAAAGAAAAATCCAAAATGTCATGGTACTTGAAGAAAAAAATTTTGTTTGGAAATGAGCTCCGAAAAGCTTGCTCATGCTTAACAGATCTTCTTGCTTTGCCGTGACCAGTACACCATACAGACATAATATCTGTTGGAATCGACTTCACTTATATCGATGATTCGGAATCTATCTATACGTTTATGAGAACTTTTCATGTCTAGCGTGAAGTAAGGTCCGGACAGATATTGTGTCCGTCGGGTGTACATGGCAGTTTAAAAAATGCATGAGAGATCATCCGATAGGTAAATAGAATGAATGCTTACTAAGCTTGTTTTTACAGAAATATTTATTATATACATTTGATTTTAAAAGTATGCTCCTTTTTCTATAATTCATTGGAATAGATATTCTTCTTCCATAACTTTAACACCTAAAACTAATAACTTTTAATAACAATAAATTACCTCATGTTCATTCAATTTACTGGTCGATTTATTGATTCTAACAGAAATACAAAAATTGCAAGTGCATGACCTCCAAATATCATCGGAATTATAAAATTTATTTCTTCTAGTTTTAGGATCAGCTCATGCTTGCGGTCTGTGCGTCGGTGAAGAAAAATTGAATCCATATATTTTTCTGTTAATCCAGTTTCATAGAGTCTTAACAAGATGTGGTTGAACTTTTGTAGCAAGAACCAATCTGGTCTTGTCGAAAATACATTGACACGAGAGATTATTATAGGCTTGGAGATGTGAATCATTTCGGACTCATCAAAGCCACTAATACCCATTATTAATCGTCCACCAATGCAGATCACATGTTTAAGCTGAAAAAGCTTATTTATGCAGCCACCGAAATCATTATACGCTATTACATCTCTTTCTATGATTTTACTTATTTGAGTAGCTAAAGGAGAATGGACGTAAATCGTCATTTTTGTATTATTTCTGAAATCTTCAATGGTCTCAACATCAGATTTATAATCGTCCACTGTACTGACGGCTCTAAACAAACCTACTAAATAAACTTTAGAGCACGATACCAAAAGAATGATGGTGCACATGAGTATTCTCTCGGATGAGTAACGCACCTGTCCGAAGACTCGTTGGTTCATGGAATGCGTGAACATTTGTATGAACTCGAAATACGAGTTGATCCAGGATAACTTCAAGATTACTTTTGATACCAATATAAACATTATAAAAGATATGAATACGTTGATGAGAATGTTCGGGTCAACCGAGGAAATGAATTTTTGTGAGTCGCTGATTGCGATTTTACGAGACATGACATGTATGTTGTCTCCTCTTACGAAGAACGTTTGCATTTTCCAATAATCAGCAACGATTTTTGGTCGAGGGGTGATGTCAATTTTGCTTTCGATAAGGTCTAGGAATGCACCTTGAGGCTTTCCGTAGTCATTTAATGCAGGTAATAAAGTAAACAATTTTACTTCGTAACTTGCTCTAACATGATCTATAACCATTTGCATAATTCCAGGATAACTTTCCTTAATTTCCAATAACTTCAAGTTTGATCTTGTCCCATATTTTGATTTATTCGAAACTTCGACGCCTAATATTATCTTGTAATGAGATAGATCGACCAATCTGTCGAAATAGCATCCATAAATGTATTTTCGATCTTGAATATAATGAAATGGCAGTTTAAAAAAAACTTTTATTGAAATTAAGGTCATGAAATGAATCACTAACCCTCCATCACTGACAATTTCGTGATGTCACTAGAAAATAACGTCCCATTTACACCATTGATTGTGATGTTATTTTCAATTTTCCAGAAGGATGTGGCCATCGAAGAAAACGGATTGAACGTGTACAGAATGTAGCGATTATTTGAGGTTAAACCTAAGTAAAAAATATTAACTATGTCAAATCTCCAAGCTGTGTTCATCATTAAATAAACCGATGAACGAGAGCTTTTAGAATTTTTGTTTACAACCAAAAACGTTGCCTGACTGTTCCAGAAGATAGAGTCACGAAAGGCTTCAAGGAATGTTGAAAAATTAAGATGACGAGTCTCTTCAATAACGACAATACTAATGGGGTAATTT